CTGTTAAAATCTAAGGGTGAAGTCGTCCATGTTATTCCAAAATTCTTTAAAATGATTGAGACACAATTTCATGCACGGGTTAAAGTTATTCATTCTGACAATGGTCGTGAGTTTGTAAACCAAACCCTTGAAAACTTCTTCTCGACTCACGGCATTCTCCATCAGACCACTTGTGCTTACACACCTCAACAAAATGGCATCGCTGAGCGAAAAAATCGTCACATTCTTGAGGTAGCTCGGGTTTTATGTTTCACTATGCGTGTTCCAAAGCGTTTTTGGGCTGAGGCAGTAACAACTGCTGTCTTTCTCATAAATCGCATGCCCGCTCGCATTATTGATTTTCAAACTCCCTTAAGAATGTTGTCACAATTTCACTCCATTCCTTCCGCTTTAAATATCTGTCCCAAAATTTTTGGGTGTGTGTGTTATGTCCATGTGCATTCTCATCTTAGAGATAAATTTGATCATTGTGCCTTGTAATGTGTCTCTCTTGACTACTCAAGCTCCTAGAAAGGCTACAAATGCTTTCTTCCCCCTACGGGAAAATACCATGTTTCTATGGATGTAAAATTTTGTAAATCAGAATTCTTTTTTTCTGATGATGTGTCGTTAGTTCCTCTTCGGTGGGAGATTAATAGTAAGGAATAGGAACGAGTATGGTTAGATGAAAAGAAAGTGTGGACTTCTGGAAAGGAGGGAGAATCCCGAATTGAATATCGAATTAAGGATGATAGATCACCTCGCCTGTTCCAAAAGTGTTATACAAGGAGAAACTCATACAATGCTTGCACTCCTATATTACCCTCTTCAGACCCTGATAACCCTCTGGTTGATTCTACAGTGCCATCTGATTCTTCTGAGATTGAAAACGAGGTACCTATTTTGCTTACCCCTTCTACTCCTATCCCTGTTTCTAATTCGAATCTTACAGCTTTAGATATTGTTGATACTCAAGATAGGAGATATCCTCTTCGAGTTCATAATAAGCCTGATAGATTTGGTTTTTCGAAATCTTCTTCCAATGCTATCTTTCCCATCTCTAATTATATCTCGTACCACCGCTTATCTAAGACTAATTTGACGTTTGCCCTCCAACTATCTTCTGTGTCTATCCTTAATCACTTTCAGGAAGCTCTTGATCAATCTAAGTGGAAATCCACTATGGTAGAAGAAATTAATGCTCTCCAAAAGAACTCTACTTAGGAAATAGCCTTATTAACACTCGGGAAAATGATCGTGGAATGCAAGTGGGTGTACTCATTAAAATACAGGTCAGATGGAACTGTGGATAGGTATAAAGCTAGATTGGTTGCCAAAGGGTACACACAGACTTATGGGATTGACTACCAGGAAACTTTTGCTCAAATAGCTAAGATGAATACCGTCAGAGTCATCATATCTCTAGCAGTCAATCTTGATTGGCCATTAAGGCAATTCATGTTAAAAATGCATTTCTTCACGGTTTGGAAGATTGAGTTGTTCAATGAAAGAGTATAGCTTTAAATAGGCCTTGGCTGATTATACTCTATTTTATAAGAGAGATGGTCATGATATTACTATGCTCACTGTGTATGTGGATGATATGATTGTTACTGACAGTAATCCATGTGAGATTGAGAAACTCCGAAGTCATTTGACAAAGAAGTTTGAAATGAAAGACTTGGGTACTTTGAAATATTTCTTGGACTTTGAAGTATTTCTTGGGCATTGAAGTATCACGGTCCCAGCAAGGACTTCTTCTATCTCAACGCAAGTACGTTCTTGACCTTCTAGCAGAAACTGGTATGTCGGCTTGTGTTCCTGTTGACACACCCATTGAGGTATATCATGGTCTATCTATTTATCCTGATCAGATTTTCGCAAACAAAGAGAGATACCAAAGATTGGTGGGGAAGTTGATTAATCTAACCCACACGAGACCTGATTTGTCATATGCAGTAAGTGTTGTGAGTCAGTTCATGCATAACCCCAGTGAGCAACATATGAGTGCAGTTAATCAGATATTGGCATATCTAAAGTCCTCTCTGGGCAAGGGCATTCTATACTCAAAAAGGGGACATTTCAATATTGTAGGTTACATGGATTCTGATTTTGCTGGATCGAGACTGGACAGGAAATCTACATCAAGATATATATCGTTTGTTGGGGGCAATCTTGTGACTTGGAAGAGTAAGAAACAGAATGTGGTCTCAATATCCAGTGCTGAGTCGGAATATCGAGCATTACATCATCTAACTACTGAGCTTACATGGTTAAAACTCCTCCTTAGTGAACTTGGGTTTGGTCCGGACAAGCCTATGTTACTTTTCTGTGACAACACTGCTGCCATCAGAATTGCAAACAACCCTGTGCAACATGATAGAACCAAGCATGTTGAACTTGATAGTAACTACAACAAAGATAATCTTGACTCTAAGAATATAGAGGTTCCATACATCAAGAGAGGGGAACAGCTGGCTGATATAATGACACATAGAGTTGCTAGTGGTCCTTTCTATACAATGCTATCCAAGTTGGTCATGCGTGATATCTATGCACCAACTTGAGGGGGAGAATTGAAATATATACCAACTTGTAATCTTTGTAAATGCTAGGGACTAATATGTAAACTTCCTTTTCTATCCTTGTATATAGTTGGTAAAATATCAATCAATAAATAAGTTTTCTCTCATACTTCTCGACTCAAAGGATAAATTCTTAAACCAGTAACCCTGGTAGCTTAACAATCTGTCAATAATCTTTGACCTCTTATGCTTAGAACCTCTGCCTGAGTATTTTTTACACAACATGACCACTTCTTTTCTGTTTCTAAAGTAAAGAAATGATTTCTTAGAAGCAAACATCATTTTCCCCTTATATTTATCCTTTGCCTTGTCCTAGATGAAAGAATTACATGTTAGAAATCTCTACTAGCTTAAAAAACTACAAAAGATTGCATATAACCTGGGTAAACTCGTGCAGTATGTCCCTGTGTCTTGCAAGCTTCTGAGTAACTGAAGTAGTAGGGGCCACAGATGCTGCACATCGACTCATAGCATCATTTACATCCACTAGCTTCTCAAGCAATGATTGAATCTCCATTTCCATGGACTTCCATGACCTGCTGGAGCCAGCAGTTGGTGAACCAGCATCCACGTAACCTAAACACCAAGAAATCATCAAACACACTGGAAATAAAATATCTCACAATAGAAATTGAGGATTTCTTGTTTGGAAAAGAATTCTGAAAGTGTGTTGCTTTATTCATCATAGAAAAGCTCCCTAAGAGGCAAAGTAAATACATTTAAAATCCTAATGATTCTAAATTAAATATTCTAAATAAATATTTAACAAACTTGCAAAAAATAAAAAGATACATAATCAAATAAATGAAAAGGTATGGAAGTTGAATTTACACCAAAGCTTTTCCCTGCCCCTTGGAGGGCTTGCTCTTTAAATGATTTCAGGAAACTGTCTTTCAGTTGCATCTCTATCACTTTTCCGTTGCCTTGATACAACATTGCTATTAAAGCGGAGTGGGTAATATATGATCGTTTATGTACAACAATATGCCTCATGTCAGTGAAACCAAAGTATTATTTCATGGGTCTTCAGAAAACTAATTTACTGCTCATGAAAGCGTGAAACAAAAGACAGCATATGGACAGTTTAGTTGAGATTGTTATACTAAACAGCCTGAAACATTCAAGCAAATTTACTGTATCGCTCATGTGTTGTCTTTGGATGATCACACAGAGAAAAACACTTGTGCGCACACCCACACAGACCTGCACACATATATGATCATAATAATTTAACGTGGACTGAGTCCCTAAATTTGGCTGTGTAATACATCTCCTTTAACCAATAATTAAGAAACCATCAGATTTTCTTCCAAAAGATAATGATTCTCTTTCATTTGACTAGCTAACTAAGGAGCCCATAACGGGCTAAAACGAATGGTGCTCCAATCTGAAACATCATACCACCAGATAAAACCAGAGCGTGGTATTGTAACTCGTGAAAAAAATAAAAAATAAAAAAAAATAATATAGGAACTGTGTACATTTTAGTGTTAACTTATCTAAGCTACATGTCCATTTATCAATAGCATATATTTTGAGATTATTATATTCCCAATCATGACTTCATTGAATTCATATTACTTGTTTCACTGCTTAACAATCCTTTATAACAAATAAATCAACTTACCATTTATATTATTTATTCAAGACTCTTAGCGAAAAAGGTTCCAAGTATATCCAGAAGTGATGCAAAACAAAACCCAACTGTAGGTAATGCAGTTACTGGATTGAATCTTGAAAATCAATTAAACCCGTGTAATCACGAATCTCAACATATATGTATGAACAAATCAGCAAACAAAGTCTTCATAAAATCACGTCCATTAATATGCACAATGGCCTGATTACTAGAAGATTTCAATGCAACATTTTTAACGAAAAAATTCAAAATTCATGTGAAAATTTTAACAGTAACCGAAAATGAAAACTACTATACAATTTTACCTCCTTGGGAGAAGCGAGCGCCAAGTTTAGCATAAGAAGATAGCTTGAAATCAAGATCACCTTCGATCTTGCGGGCCTCTTTTCGGAGCTCCTCCCAACCCGACTCCTGGAGCATATCCATGCCCGAATTCCCCGACATTCGGATCTACTACGGATCCGACCCAATGGATCGTTGTAGTCGCTTCAATTCGGGTTCACGATCCGAATCCGACAGTTTATACAGTTGGAAAAGGAAGATGGGTTTATTTGCGATTGCGATTAGAGATGCGCCAGTGTGAATCACTGCTACAGTTTTTGAAGGGTTTCATCTCATATTTTGTTTGACGAGTTAAATATTTTGTTAGTCACTGTACTTGTGCATCTGTTACCTTTTACACACTGAGCTTTAAAATACTTTTAAATAGTCATTGAACTTTAACACATTACACTTCATCACTCTTTCATCATATTTCATTTGTCACTAAATTTTAAACATATTTTCGAATGATCACTTAACTTTTTTCACTACGCCCCTGTTTGAGCTCCATTATTTCAATTTATAATGAGAAAAATAATATTTTTTGAAGAATATATAGTTAAAAAGAAGGAAAAAAATTTTGATTGATGTGTAATATTATTTTATTGAAAAATGTATGATTTGTAAGAATAAAGAGAAAAATGAAATTTAATTTAATGGGGAGAAAACAGGGGTTAGATCTTACGGTTAAAAAATTAAAAATTTTGAAATATAAAATATCATATATGAAGATGGCGCCCTTCTTTCACCTGAATTACCTTGTGAAAATTTTAAAATTTATATTTTGTTAGTCTTGATTAATATTATTGACTCTAGATCGAAAATTTCATTACATGTTTGAGATATAAATTTTTATTTTCTTGATTTTAATTTACTATCTCAATTGAAATGAAGAAATAATTTCTCTATTTTATTTTCTCGACGTAAATGAAGATTATGATCTAAATCAAAATTTATGTCAATTCTAAGCTAGTGTTCTTCTTTTCCCTTGACGACTAGAAAAACTATATATTTTTTACCAATATCAATATGATAAGTGAGTGATGGAGTGCAACACTTTAAAATTCAGTTATCATTCGAAAACATTTTAAAATTTGGTGAGTAAAATATAATGGAGGTATAAGTTCGGTGACTAATGAAGCATTTAACTTCATGAATGACTAACCTTAAAATAAAAGCAAGTCTACTTATAATAAACTTTAATGTTTCGCCGAACACGTTTAAAGCTTTATAAAATAATGTTCTAAGTTAAAATTCACTTAAAAAATTTAATCAACAATCAAAATCTACTAATAGTCAAATTGTATAAGAATCTTAAATTGACCTGCAAAAGAATATACATCTAAAATTGTGTTGTGATTGACCAACAGAAGCTCTCTGACGCTCAAATTAATCGGGATGGGATATAAAGGAACTGTGTTTGTATTATGTGGTGTATTAGTTCCATTTTATCATATACATTTATGTTCCTTTATATAATTTGTTAAAATTTGAGTGTGATCTGAATTTCCTGTTAAAACAATTAAAGAATTATAATTGAAATGCACATCAAGAAGAATTCAGTTTGGAATACTATTGAAGTCGTATGTCAAGTTGAAGTTCTATTTTGGAAGCTCATTAGGGGTTGAAATTTATTTTTGACTTGATTTTTGGTATCTTACTTCATCAACAACTCTGTTAGGAGGGTTTGAACATTTCCTACATGTTCCCTATAAATATGATGTTCTTCTATATAATTTTATGATGTGAGAAAAAATATTACTAGAATTTTATGATCAATTGTATATTTCTCCAATATTATTGGTGCAATAAAATCTCCTAATTCATCGTCATATTTTCCCGTCTTATTTTATTCTTTTTCTTGTAATCAAAAACTTCATTATTGTGCCATATAACTTCAACATCTCATTTTGGTGGTAGTTTCATATAAAGTGGTATCAAGCGATCGTGATCCTTAAATTTTCAACAATTGGTATCAGAGATTTTGGACGTAATTAACACAACAAGTATTATCAGAGTTTAGGATCAGTAATTCCGCAAGAGCGCAATGTTTGATTTGTTCGAGATTTTTTGTTCTTGATGGCTTCCATGAAGTATGACACTCTGCTTTTAAATCGGAGCACTAGATTTCCCTATGGCAGGTTAAGATGCGTGCAGCACTCGCACAACAGGATTTGTATGATGCGTTGCTAGGAATTGACAAGATGCTTGCAATTTTGACCGCGGAGGAAAAATTACAAAAGGATAAGAATGCAATTTCTTACATTCATCTTCATCTATCGAATACCATTTTTCAGGATGTTTTGAAGGAGGGTTCAGTAGCTGTTTTATGGTTGAAGTTAGAGCAATTGTGCATGGCTAAAAGTCTGACAAGCAAGTTGCATCTCAAGCAGCGTTTATATTCTCATCGAATGATAGAATAGGGATCATTGAAAGATCACCTATCAGTATTTAAGGAGATTGTCGCTGATTTGGAAACTTGGGAAATAAAGTATGACGAAGAAAATTTGACCTTGATCCTATTGTGTTCGTTGCCCGCTTTGTTTTCTTCATTTAGAAATACGATCTTGTATAATCTTCATACTCTCACCATAGAAGAGTGTATGATACTTCGTTAGAGAAGATGAAGCATCTGGTGTTTAGGTTGAGATAGAGAAGACCTTATTGCTCATGGTGGTTCTGGAAGAGGCAGCTCGAAATCTAAGTTAAGTAATCAGATTTGTAACTTCTGCAAGAAATAAGGGCAATCGAAGTCTAAGTTCAGTAATTAGATTTGTAACTTCTGCAAGAAGAATGGGCATATGAAGAAGGATTGTTACAAATTGCAGAATAAAGAAATGTTGGCTGCAAGTCGATATGGGAAGCAATCAGAGACTTCAGGTGAAGCAGACCTCACAGAGAACATTGTAAGTGAGAGATATCTCTTGGCTATTTCTGACATCGAGTCTAAACCAAATGAGGATTGGATTCTGAATTTAGCGTGTGTGTTTTATATGTGTCCTAATAATGACTTGTTTACTACATATGAAACCGTTTCCAAAGGTGTCGTGGTTATGAGAGACAACACACCTTGTCGGGATGTTAGAATTGGTACGATCAGATTGAAGCTATTGGATGGGATAATTAGAACACTTGGCCAGGTTCGACTGTTCCTGATTTGAAGAAGAATCTCATCTCGTTGTCTATCCTTGATTCAAAGGGTTATGAGTTCTTTGGTTGAGGTTGAGCTTTTAAGGTTTATAAGGGTGCTCAAGTTGTATTGAAGGGACAAAAAAAGTCTCAATTATACATCTTGTAGGTTCGTGCAGAATCTAGAAGAGTCAATCATGACAGGTTCAGTACTATGGTAGACATTCAGTTTAGTACAATACCTTTAGGAGCTCGTAAATGGTCGGATTTGAAAAATACTACTCAGTGGAGTTCAGAAAATATGGATAATGGCACTTTGTCGTCATCACCTACGGTGCCATTGTATTCAATTGTTAGGGTAATAACCCAGTGGTAAAAGGTATGTGGATGTTGATTTTGTTGAGCGTGCTTTCAGTGTAGCATGAGGTATATTCAGTGGAGTTCATGATTTTTTTGTATTCAATTGTTCATTCCTTACTGACAGATTTTCTTCTCCAAGAGGAGAATATTTTGGAGATTTGTTCATTGCAGTAGAATTCGTGTTAAGGTGGAAATTGTTAGAATTTGGGTGTGACCCAAATTCCCTGTTGAAGTAATTGAAAAATTCTAATTGAAGTACACGTCAAGAAGAATTCAGTTTAGAATGCTATTAGAGTCATATGATAAGTTGAAATATTATTTTCGAAACTCATTGGGAGTTGAAATTTGGATTTAGAATGCTATTAGAGTCATATGTCAATGTTAAGTTCTATTTTGGAAACTCATTGGGAGTTGAAATTTGTTTTGGACTCGATTTTTGGTATCCTACTTCATTAACAACTCTATTAGGAGGGTTTGGATATCCCCTACATGTTCTCTATAAATATGAGACTCTTCTATGTAATTTTATGATGTGAGAAAAAAAGATTACTAGAAGTTTAGGATCAATTGTATATTTATCCATTATTATTAGTAAAATAAAATCTCCTAATTCCTCTGTCATATTTTCTGATCTTATTTTATTCTTTTGCTTGTGATCAAATACTTCATTATTATGCCATATAACTTCAATATCTCAATCTGGTGGTTGGTTTCATATCAAGTGGTATCAAGCGATACGTGATCCATGAATTTCCAACAATTGGTATCGAAAATTCTGGGTATAATTAACATAACATACTTGTTGGTTATAATTCAAAAATGGAAATATGTGTCGATTTAATTGGCATCAATAACGTTATTTATTCTAAAATTATCTAGGCTCATCAATTAGTTTGACCAATACTCATTATATCGTTCATCTTGCTCCATAATTTAGAAGAATGTATATATTTATGCCTTTACAGATATCTCACTCCCGAGGTGCAAAGAGATAAGGTTTGGAGGGTAAGATTTTAATAGTCTTAACCATTTTTATTGTTAGTGGATGAATCTCGTGTTTCATTATGTGAGTCAAGACTTTGCTCTCAAAGTAGTTAAAATGGACTGCTTGGGACCTTATCAAATTGTTGCAGTCTAATTAATTGCTAGAGTGATTGAATTTTGTTAACGTGGACTTTGCTCTCAAAAGTAATTAAAATATGTTTTGCTTCTTTACCTGATTTGTTTGAGCGTTCCTTTCTAGCCACTACATCTATTAGGTCCTATCAGATGGGTTGCTCTCGAGCTATGTAAATGGATTGAAATAAATTTGGTAACTTATTGGTAAGCTTTGACTCGTATCTTTATAGTCGGATCTCCATCCTCACATGACCCGATAATTGCCGATGTCGGTATTGGTGATTATTTCTGTAAAACATGCTTGCATGCTTCTAACAAAAATTCAAATTGTAAAACTTACTTGAAACCACCAAAACGAGGTTGAATCACTTGCCTTTTGTTTGCTTGTCTCCTACACTGCTTTGCAGTCACTCCTTGGTGGAAAATTCGATCACAAAGGAGGGAATTTGATAGCCACAATCCAAGAACCAATTTAGAGATGATATACTTCAAAAACAAGCCACAACCCACATGTA